GGGAAATGACCGGATGGGTCAGGTATTCAAGGCGGATGCCGTGGCTGAGGTCTGATTGGTCGGTAGAAACTAATTGAGTCATTTCACCTGCCTTGGAGTTTTTCATCGAGGGATGTGCTTGATATGGAAAGTGTTGAAGAGGTGAACAAGGGGGAGTGCAATATCTTTGTAAGCCCGCATTGTGTTTTCCTTGGCCTCGAATTCTCCCGTAATTTGGCCGACGATGAGCTGGGAATCGCTAAACACCTGGATATGGCTTATGCCAATGTCTTTGGCTAAGCGGAGACCTACGATTGATGCCTCATATTCGGCCTTGTTATTGCTTGCGTCGAACAAGAAACGGAGAGCGCACTTGAAATAACCACCCTCGGGGGCGGTGAGGATGAGGCCAGCCCCACTGTCTTTTTTGCGGGATGATCCATCGACATTAAGGGTCCAAGAGTGGGGTTCTTCTGCCTCAGTACTGGATTGCTTGGGCGGGTGGGCCGTGGTTGGAATGGGATTAGTGAATTTCAAGATAAAATCAGGGACAACCTGCCATTTGATCGCTGTTCGAGGTCGGTAGAAGATGTCAAATTGGCTGAGCTCGACTGACCATTGCATAAGTCGGCCGAACAACTCTAGTTGTTGCATTATCTTTTTCAAAGGTTGGTCAGTGATGACGATAATGGGGTGGGCCTGGAAGTAAGGTCGGAGCCGTCTTGAGGCTATGACCAAGGCTAAGGCCATCTTTTTAAGCAGTGGGTAGTTCTGTTCTGCTCCCCTGAGAGCCCGACTAATGTAGTAAACCGGACGCTGGACAGAGTTGTCCTCCCTGATGAGGGCTACACTGACTGTAGTGTTCGATACGGCTAAGTAGAGAAAAAAGGGCTCACCCGTGATCGCCTGAGAAAGTAGGGGGGGTTGGGCATGCACTGCTTCAACTGCTAAAAGGCTTCTTCGGATTCTATCGTCCACTCAAAAGACTGCCGAAGGACTTTGAAAAAGGGGAGACACTTGTCTATTGCGCGGGAAATAAAGCAGTTGAGGGCGGCAACTCTGCCCGTAAGTCTTTGAACTTCTCTAACTGTTCTAGGTGACTGCATCTCTATCAGAGCCTTGATCTTTTTGGGTTAGCCTCGATACCCCATTGACTGACCACGAAACCCAAGAATTTCCCAGATCCGATGCTGAAGGCGCATTTCTCCATATTCAACTTCATTTGATACTTACGCAGAGTGTCGAAGGTCTCTCGCAAGTCTGCCAGATGATCAGAGGATAGTTTGCTCTTGACAAGCATGTCATCAACGTATACTTCCATGTTCCGACCTATCTGGTGATGAAAAACAGCATTGACTAACCGTTGGTAAGTCGCTCCAGCGTTTTTCAACCCAAATGGCATGACACGATAGTGGTTGGTCCCCCGGTCAGTTATAAAGGAGGTGTGTTCCTAGTCCGATAGGTGCATCAGAATTTGATTGTAGCCAGAGAAAGCATCCATAAAGTTGAACATTTGATGACCGGCAGTGGCATCGACAAGTAGATCTATTCGGGGAAGGGCATAGCTATCTTTGGGGCAAGCTCGGTTGAGGTCGGAGTAATCAACACAAAGTCGTCATTTACCGTTGTTTTTTCGGACCAAGACCACATTTGACAGCCATCTGGGGTAGTCCACGTTTTTGATAAACTGTGCCTCAAGGAGCTTATCTACTTCAGAAGCAATGAGAGTGTTGCGTTCCAGGTGAAAGATGCGATGCTTCTGGCGGAACGGTCGGAAATGGGGCTCAATGCTGAGACGATGAGTGATGAAGAAAGGGTCAATACCCAGCATGTCAAAGTGGGTCCAGGCAAATACATCGTTGTGCTCAATCAGGAGGGCTGTAAGGTCGGCCTTGGCCTGGAAGGATAGTTGGCTGCCGATCTTGGCAGTTTTTGTCAGGTTTATAGGGTCGATGAGAACCTCGACAAGCTCTTCCACTTGTTCCCCTCTAACCAGCTCGTCTTCGTCTCTGACGTCGAGTCCTTCAATGATCATTGTTTCCTTCAACTTAACCTCTTTAAGTGAAGCGACGTAACATTCTCTGGCTACAGTCTGTTCTCCCCTCATAGTGTCGACCCCAAGGTCGATAGGGAATTTTATGGCTAGGTGGAAAGTGGATATGACAGCTTGAAAAGCATTTAGGGCGTTGCGGCCGAGGATAATGTTGTAAGCAGAGGGACAGTCGACGACGAGGAAAGTGAGCAACTTTGTGGTCTACCGCGGGTATTCTCCAATGGTGATGGGAAGATCGATGGAGCCTATGGAGGTCACCCGGTCCCCAGTAAAGCTAACCAGTTGGGTTTGGAGAGGGGACAAACTTTCTTCCCCGACCTTGAGCTAGCGGTAGGCGCTTAGGAAGATAATGTCTGAAGAGCTGTCGTTGTCGACAAGAACCCGTCTGACTTTGTAATTGGAGAGGAGGGCAGAGATGACGAGGGGGTCGTTATGGGGGTAACGGATGCCTGCGCAGTCGGCCTCCGTAAAGGTGATGGGCTCCATCCATTGCTTGGGGTGTTTGAAAGGGCGGTCCAATGTGGCAACTTCTTTATCTGAGCCCTGCTTTATCTTTCTAAGTTCTGCCCGTTGAGCCGAGAAGGATGGTCCTCCACAAGCAAGCCCGCCAGCAATAACTTTGATCTCTTCAACTGGAGGGGCAGAGTTGCCTTGTGCCCGGGGTTGCTGCGGGGGCCTATCATGACCTTGGTTAGGTTGTGCGAGCGAGCGGTCGATGAGGGGTGCGCCGATGGTTATTTTTGGTAGGGTCAGTCATTTGCCTTTGTTGATAGCGGGTTGCCGTGAACCGACTGAGATGCCCCTGGCGTATCAAGCCCTCGACCTGGTCTTTGAGGTTAACACACTCCTCGGTATTATGGTCGTGGTCCTGATGAAAGCGGCAGTATTTGGACTGGTCTCACCGGTTGGAAGGAGACCATGACGGTTGGGGCCATTTTAGAGGATAATCTCATTGGATCTGGTTCAGGACTTGTTCCATCGGGGAATTGAGGGTTGTGTATCGTTCGAATCGGCCAGGCGGTCGGGTAGGTGCTGGCCAGTTGGCTCGGGCAGGTCGGTCGGTATACTAAGGTGTTTGGTGAGTGTACGGGGTGTTTCTGGTTTCAGAGTCTTCTCTCTTCTCTTTAGGGGTCGGGTTTTTGGTTGTAGGGTCTTGTCGGGCAGCTAGGGAGTCTTCGGCGTTCATGTATTTTTGGGCTTTGGAAAATAGGGTTGTCATGGAGGTCGCGGGGTTTTTGGAGAGGGAGAAAAGGAAATCAGATGGTCGTAGACCGGCCATGAAAGCCGTGAGAATGACCTTGTCGTCATTTTTCGCTACTTGCAGGGCTTCAGTGTTGAAACGGGTGACGAAGCTGTGCAACGACTCCTCATCGGTCTGACGGACATTAAGGAGTTGGGTTGCCGGACGCCACTGGCGCTGGGCACCAATGAAATGGATCAGAAATGAGTCGCTTAGGTGTTGGAAAGTAGAGACAGAATCTGTTGGCAGTTGACTAAACTAGAGTCGAGCCGACCCCTTAAGTGTTGCGGGGAATGCCCGACACATAATCTCGTCAGGGAATGCATAGAGGGCCATGAGGATTCTGTAAGTTTCCAAATGGTCGACCGGGTTCGTTGTGCCGTCGAAAGAGTCGAGCGAGGGCATTTTGAACTTAGGAGGTAAGGGTTTATCGCTAATGGAGGCAACGAACGGTGAGTTGGCTGTGGTAGATGGCTTATTCTGTATGTTCTGCATGACTCCTTGAAGCTGGAGTTTCATGGCGCGGAGTTCCGCATCTTAGAGAGGAACATTGTCACCACCGGAATGCAGTAGAGGCTGGACACTGCAGGTCTTTCCCTCAGGGGTGGGTGACTGGACCGATGGATGTGGGGCCTGAGGTGGTGGGTTCATACCTAGGAGAGGGGGTTGCAAGCCTTCTAAGTTGGATAGGTGGGACTGTTGAATAGGATGGCTTGGGGCTCGTTCTTGGTTGGGTGGGATATCTTGAGGTGGTGGAGGAAGTATAAGAAGGTTTCTTTGAAGTAGAGCATTGATCAGGGCTTGGTTTTGTTCGGCTAGGCGGTTAATGCTGTTGGTGAGCTCGGTGAAGTACTGCAGTGGGTTGTTTAAGTTAGGGGGGTCGGCTTGGTGGTCGGCAACATTGTGGTGAGAAGCCATGGATCTAGTTGTGACCATCCACCTTGGTGGGTGGCAGGTAGGGGTTATCAAGGTCTCCGGTGACAATGAGCACAACTGGCGCACGGAGCGAAAAGCTTTCCACAGACGGCACCAACTGATGGTTCTGCCACCGATGGAGCGGGTCAAGACTGTCCACACTTCTCAAGTCATTGCCCGGTTGTAGGACCCATCGTGAAACTTGCAAAATAGTCCAATGGGGAACGGGTAGTTCCCCAGCGAACCCTCCGACGATCAAGTTAGAGAAGAGAGAGGATGGTTGAATGTAGGGATAGATTGGTCATAGAGAAGCTTAACATTTTCTTTGTCTTAGGGGCCTGCTTATATCCATTGCTCATCATTTCCTTGTCCACTCCGAGCCGTCATGTTGGCCGAAATTCTATGTCCTAGCTTGCCTTGTTCATGGTGAGGCTGTTCTGTTCTGACGTGAATGGTTATCACAATAAATGTCGCAGGAAAACTCATTAATGGTTGATCTGTGATGCAATAACTTTGCAAGATTTTTGCCTGCTGATGTGGTTGGTTCTTCGCTTGCCACATGTTTAGATGTCATTGGTCCTTAATGTCACGTTGAGCTTCAACAGCGTTGGGCTTTAGTGTTTGAATTATGTATTAGGTTCTGAGTAATGGGCCAAAAGCTCCTATAGGCCCACCTATGTCAAATCATATCATTTTGTATATTTTTTATTATTTCTATATTACGTACTCGCTTCAATAACCTTGAATTACTTCCTCTTCATTGTGATTAGTTGATGTGCTAACAAACATGATGTTTACTTTGATGTGGGATAGTCCTCATTTCTATGGGGATACATATTTTCATCAGTTGTTGGTGGAGTTTTGGTAGACAAATATGGAGGAAAAAGAGTGATCGCTTGGGGTGTGGCCTTGTGGTCTGTAGCCACTCTCCTCACGCCATGGGTTGCAAACCACTCCACAACCAGCCTCTTGGCCGCTCGAGCGTTCTTTGGCCTTGCCGAAGGTGTAGCTTTACCTTCCATGAATACCCTTTTATCAAGGTAATCCTAATTTCCTTGTTGCACAGTCATTCAACATGTAAATTAATTCTTTTTAGTATATATATATACATTTTACTTTTTTTGTGGGTAAGTAAGCATTTCATACCAGAAAGAAAGAAATATACGACAGGACTCATGACTAGGGCCGTAAGAAAAATTAGTAGAATCTAATTGATTGCCTAAGACTATTGAAATTTTCATTTTCAGTCAATCTTCTATAATGTACGATCTGTTTTGGTTTTGAAACAGTTTACACCAATACCAGTGGAACCAATCAAAATATATATTTAAATACTAAATATATATTTGAATATTATTAGACAATAAACTATCAATGCTATGCCTTTTGCATTAAATATGGGAGAGAAATATTTATAAAGCAGTTCTAATCCTTTCTCTTCATTTATTCTTGAGATTCAATAGATTTTTATTAAATTAAATCTTAAAGTCTCCGCTAATCCATCATTTACACTAGATCAAAAAATCAAGATTAATGATATGGAATTGGGTCGGACAGATTTGGGCCGGACAGAGTTGTGCCAGACAGATTTGGGCCGAACAGGTGTTGGGCCAAGTTATGTGGCCCGGCCCTGAAGGAAGCTGCTCGGTTAAGGCAGCGCGTGGATTGACCGAGCTGCAAGGATCCGTGGTTACGAAGTCAGTCAGGTGAAAAGTCCAGTGCCAGGAAAGGCAAGGTTGGACCGAGGTACCTGTTTGCTCGGCAGGTAGGTCGACTGCAGACAAGCGTGAGTTATCCCGAGCTCGGCTTTACCGAGATACCGCCGAGTCCGGTCTTTATCTGAGCTTAGCTGTTGGAGTACTTGGGCATGAAACGCAGCATGGCAGACGATGGCTGAGATGGTACTGCCAGGCTGTCGAGCTCTCAGGAGAATGGGCAGGCAGTTGGGTTAGGTCGTGCTCAGCAAGGTTTATACTGACAGATGGGGTTGCAGTGCCACGTGTTGAGAGGTCACTGGGAGTAGATTTGGGGCGCAGAAGGTATATAAGCACGTCTGCGCCCCCCATACAGTGGCAAATGAACATTTGGTGAGACATACGCTAAACACTCAGCACTCTTCCTTCTCTCTATCTATCCCCTGTGTGTGTGTTCTAACTTGATCGTCGGAGGGGTTTTCCGGCCACACACCGCTGGATAGCTCACCGCCGTTGTGCTCGTAGGTCGATTGGACAGACAGGAGTTTAGAAGAAAGGAGTGCGGGCTTGCCTGAATATTTACTCCCCGTACAATTGGCGCCGTCTCTGGAATTCTTTGCAGATAAAACCTTGTCTTCCAAGCTCATCCGATCGCTTTCTATGGCGAACAACGAAGAGATTCCGCTGTTCGCCATCAATGGAGCCACTCCGAAGTCAGGCAGACGGAGAGAGGGACACCCCACCATTACTCCGATGCGGGACTTGGAGACATTCCCAGGAGGACAGTCGGGAGACGCGCGGGATAAGCGCGGAAGAAGTCATGGTCATTCACGGAGTCCAGACGGTCACCGGCGGAGGAAAGACTCACACGCCAGACGTCTAGAAAATAAGCTGAAGGACTAGGACGCCGTCATCCGGCGAATGGCGGCGGAGATGGAGGAGCTGAAGCGGCATGTCAAAGGGAAGGGTGCAGCTGGAGTGGGAGACCACAGTGAGCGCACCCAACCCCGCCGTTCAGGCAGTCAGAGCCAGCGGCACACTCCATCTCTCTCAATCACCGGAAGTTACAAGGTTGGAGATTCCGACGCGCCCGTAGAGAAGTCTAGCGCGCATGATAGCACTTACCAACCCTCACGTCCAGCGACGACGTCAAGGTACTCCTACTCCGCTCGTTCAGAGGATTTGCAGGTAGTCTTGAAGGAGCGGGCTCGCCGGTGGGAGACTCAGAGGGTGCCGGCGTTCCACCGGTTATCCTATGGGGGTCGCGCCAGTGAAGAGGTCGTAATGCCTCCACCCCGCCTTGCTGTGCCTCCTCCTCCAGACACGGATTTGCACGCCAGCGAGGAGGTCGGAATGCCTCCACCCCGCCTAGCGGCGCCACTCCTTGTGGATTCCGACTTGGCAAGGTTGAGCGCCACCCCTTTCTTCCTGGAAATAGAAACAACACCGCTTCCAACAGGCTTTCACCAGCCAAAGTTCACGCTTTACGACGGAAAGACCGATCCTTACATGCATGTAAGCCACTTCCGACAGGTCATGGCCAGACATAGGCGGAATGATGCTCTTATGTGCCTCATCTTTCCGTCAAGTTTGGGCGAGCTGGGCTTGAAATGGTTCGAGCGGCTGCCGGAGGGGAGTATTGAGAGGTGTCATCAGTTGGCCGAAGCTTTTGTGACGCACTTCAAAACCAACACTAAAACACCTAAAGAAGTTGATCACCTGCTGAGTGTCAAGATGGAACTGAGCGATACATTGAAGGCATACAACTCCAGATATTGGGAGACTTTCAACGAGATCTTGGATTGCCCGGTCAACCTTGCAATCACTCAGTACAAGCGGGGCCTCCCGGTCGGACATAGACTGTGGGACTCACTTAACATGCACCAGCCAACGTCCATGGGCCAGCTAATGCAGCGTATCAATGAGCACATCCGAGTAGAGGATGATGTGTCAACATCTACCGCAAAGGCGACTCCGGTGGCAACAGACAAGAGGTTAGCTGGCAAAGTGTACGCAGTTGGACAAGAGTCCATCCGAACAAGTGACCGCGCTGAGGAATCGGACCGTGGCTCAAATCGCAAAAACCGGGGTAGGGGACGTCGGAATGACCGGGATGACTACCCCCGGGATGATGTCACTGACGCAAACAGAAGGTTGAAGGCCAGGACGGGCATTACCACGGTCTTCAAAATTCCGATCTATCGCATACTTAGTGAAATCTGTGACGAGGAGTATGTCCGATTTCCTGCTAAGTTGGGCGGCAGTCAGAAGGGCTTCAATCCGCAATACCGCTGCACGTTTCACCGGGAGCGCGGCCACCGGACAGAGGATTGTTTGCCTTTGAGGCAACACTTGGAAGAGTTAGTCGCAGTCGGACACCTGGACCTTTACATCGATGGAGGTGTTAAGGCGAATCAAGCTCCGGTTGATCCGCGGGGACCGGATGACCGTGATGCACCCCCACAAGGAGTTGTTAATGTCATTCACGGCATAGTGGAACCAGCGCGGGTATGCCAGCTCCGGGGTATGATAAAGAAGGCAGAACACATGAGGGAAGTCTTGTCGGTTCAGCCAGCAATCAAGAGTGGGAAGACCGAAGAAAGAGATGTGCTCAGTTTCTCCTCGAGGGATCTAGAGCGCATTCAGACACCGCACAACGACGCCTTAGTAATGACGCTCCGCGTCAAGGAGTTTGATGTCAAACGGATCTTGATCGATCAGGGAAGCTCAATCGAGATCATGTACTACGATGCATTCAAGCAGCTCAAGTTCTGTGATACAGACTTGGCTCCGGCAACTTCGCCCCTGGTCGGTTTCAACTCACAACCGAAATGGCCTTCGGGAAAGATTATCCTGCCAGTCAAAGTGGGATCCGTAGTCAAGCAAGTGGAGTTTTGGGTGCTGCAAGTACCATCCACTTATAACTTGATCCTTGGAAGGGGATGGCTTCACGCGATGCAAGCCGTTGCGTTGACCTACCATCAGGTAATGAGATTCCCCTCGGCTGTGGGGGCAATCGAAGAAATTTGGGGAGATCAAGTCATGTCAAAGCAGTGCTTCGCGGCGGTCAATGGGAGCCGGGCTGCCAAAGGCTTTGTTCAAATGATAGAAGGACCAGGAGATCACGGAGTCCTCGACGATGTGGGCACCAGGGCAGAGGACAAAGCCGTTGAGGAATTAGTGGAAGTGCAAATTGATACAAAGCATCCAGACAAGTTCTTCCTGCTCGGCTCCAGCCTTACTACCCGAGAAAGGACTGAAATGATGGAGTTTTTGATGGCCAACATCGAGGTCTTCGCATGGTCGCCTTACGACATGCCCGGCCTTGATCCAAGTTTTATCTGTCATCACCTCAATGTCTTTCCCAGAGCAAAGCCGGTCATTCAGCGAACAAGGAGGTCAGCGCTGCATCACACCGAGGTAGTTGCGGAGAAAGTGAAAAACTTGCTCGAGGCACGAGCAATTCAGGAAGTGCACTACCCTCGGTGGATTTCCAACACCGTAGTGGTGCTCAAAAAGAATGGGAAGTGGCGAGTTTGTGTCGATTACAAGACAGTCAACCGAGCTTGTCCGAAAGATAACTTCCCTTTGCCCCGCATTAACCAGCTCGTGGGCTTGACGGCTAGACATAATAGGCTCAGCTTTTTGGATGCCTATCGCGGCTACCATCAGATTGCCATGCATGGGCCCGACCGAGAGATCACCTCCTTCACGACTCCAAGGGGACTCTTCTGCTACCGAGTTATGCCTTTTGGTTTGAAGAACGTCGGGGCAACCTTTCAGAGGATGGTGACTAAGATGTTTGCTCCGTTGCTTGGTCGGACAATGGAGGCTTACATTGATGATATGGTGGTTAAAAGCCGGCATCAAGCAGACCACTTGTCTGACTTGGCCGAGATGTTCGCCATTCTCAAAAAGCACAAGCTACGCTTGAATGCGTCTAAGTGCGCCTTTGGTGTGGGGTCCAAAAAATTTTTGGAATTCCTAGTCACGAACCGAGGCATAGAAGCAGACCCCTCTCAGATTAGAGCCGTGCAGTAATTGAAACAGCCTAGATCGGCTAAGGACGTGCAGCATCTGGCCGGAATGGCCGCCGCGCTTAATCGATTTTTAAGCCGGTCATCAAATCGCTGCCGCCCTTTCTTTCAGGCATTGAAATCAAAGTTCTCATGGGATGAAGAGTGTGACCGGGCTTTGGCCGAGCTCAAGGAATATCTGTCTTCTCCGCCAATATTGGTTACATCGAAGCCAGGCGAGGAACTCTATCTTTACCTTGCCGTCTCACAGCATGCAGTCAGTGCGGTGCTAGTCCAAGTTGAAGGAATTAAGCACCTCCCAATCTTCTA